GCTCAATGTATTTCTTCAAGAAACAGAAATATAAAGTAGCTACAGTGAAGTTGTCAAAATAGATTATATCCTCAACAAAACAATTTTGACCTCAACTGATTCCAATGTTTACATGCAAGCTGAAATGTAACGCCAGGCTTGCAAAGGTAATGTCTTCTAGGTAAGCCAATAGGTGTGCATGTGTGGGTGACATAGGTGGGCACGTACATCAGAAGGAGCTCATGCTGGCCATGAAAAGCGTGATAATGATAGCTAGCTGAACAAAGAATAGGGAGAAAGCCGGTCAGTAAAGCAGAATCTGAAAAGTGTTGTCACCCTCCTCATTAGGTATGTGCGTGGGCTTGGTGTAACCAAGTCGACCCAAGCACATGCAAAACTGCCAGTGACACAAGCCCCTCCCAGACCAATCAGCTACCGTTGGGGTGTTCTATCAAAGTTTGTGACTGCGTTAGAATGTGTGACCGGTGACGTGGTCACACATTTTAACGTAATCCCGCCCAGTTTTCCGGCGGTGGAATGTGTGACCGGCAAAAAGGTGAAGAATTCCAACGATTTCTCAGCTGTTCCAGGGCAGATCAGATGGTATGTGCAGGAGACCCGATGTGCCCTGGAACAGCTGATCAGTCCTGATATGTCACTTCTGGATCTCACATTCCACAAAGTCGGATAAAAGTTACATTTCGGGACCGATCAGCTGCTCCTGGGCAGATCGGTTCTCTTGTACATACCATCTGTGATGCCGATCTGCCCTGGAGCTGCTGAGAAAGCGTTGGAATTCTTCACCTTTTGCCGGTCACATATTCCACCGCCAAAAAAGTGGGCGTGATTACGTTAAAATGTGTGACCACGTAACACACATTCCAACCCAGTCACAATATTTGATAGAACAGGGGCATTCCCTACCCAGAACCACAGCTACATGTAACAAGGGGCAGGAATGCCCCTGCCACAGCTGATTGGGCCAAGAGGGGGGAATGTGTCTGTTTTGAGCAGGCTCTGCCCCAAATCATGCACACCCTACCACTCATGCTTATTAACCATTATATAAAAACAGAAGATAGAGGAAGGATAACAAGAGCATGTACATTAATGTTAAAGTCTAGGTAGGTAAAACAGTGGCTAAGCAGGTAAAGCATTGCTATATTGGAATTTCCGCTGTGGTTAGGCTTGAGTTGCAATTACAGGCTGATGGGAAGCCTTTAGTCTGTGTAAATGTGTCTCCCGCTGTACAAAGTACAGTATTTCTCATTTTGTGTCCAGTAAGTAGTAAGCGTTGATGGTAACTTTACTGGACATTTAAAAGGTTTATCAAACCAGTAAACCAACATGACAGATCCAAGTATCCGTTCCATAAGCACTGGGGGGAGACACTACTCGATACATGATGTCCCTCCCTAAAGCCCCATTCACACTGAGTGATTCATCGCGCGATTTTTGCAGCGATATTGCTCAGATTTCCACGCGATATCGCTCTATGTAGCTACTCCAATCCATTTCAATGGAGCGGTTCACATCTCGTCGCTCAATATCGCTTGTAGCTCGTCGCTGGTAGCTTGTCGCTCCTACATGACCCCTTTTTCGAGCGATTTTGCTCCTGATTGCATACAGCCCAATAGGGACAAGTCGCTCAATATCGCTCGTCGCGCAATATCGCTCAAAATCGTGCGATTTTCATGTCGCTCAGTGTGAATGGGGCCTAAGCCAAACTGTAATGGAGATGTTCAAAACCTACCTACAGGGAAAATCCTCCCCTCCTTGTAAATACCAGATGTGTGTGAATGTGTGCAGGCACTTGCTGAATTACTCTGCCAATGCTTTATAATGTAAAACCAATCACTACAATTTTATCAGAGGTTTAAAATATTATTGAATTATTAAAACATTTTTAAAATCACCAGCTTTCATTAAAAACAAAACAAAACACTGCACTTAGTCAACTGGGGATTCAGGTCACCTTCTTGGCCCCAATTACTATTGTGTGACTATTGACAGGTTGTGACTACTACAGGAAAAGATTAGGGAGAGGATCTCGTTGCACTCATTACCGGATGTCCCACATGATGGGGAGGGTGCTCGTAATGACTGCGGGTGGCACCACTGCAGATTGGTTGTGAAGAATGTCACCAGCACACCGAAATTCCTTTCAGGATCACCAAATGCTCATTTTATTGTACAATTTGTCAAAATGGAAACAAGCGCTTTCGGGGCCATGCAGGGTCCCTCTTCATCAGGCTTAGGATCCATGATGTTAAGCCTGATGAAGGGACACAGTGTGGCCCCGCAAAGCGCTTGTCTCCATTTTGACAAATTGTACAATAAAATGAGAATTTGGTGATCCTGAAAGGAATTTCGGTGTGCTGGTGACAATATACTACAGAAAAAAGGACTCTGCACTGTTAATATATATATATACATATATATACATATATACACACACACACACACAAAAACACAGGTGATCATGCCATGAAGATCCTTGTTCAGGCACTTCCTGTTACGGGGTTAGGGACAACTGTCTTCCAGCTGTTCTCCTGCATTATCACCATGTCACATGCACCCCTGCGGGAAGTCTACAAGCTCTGTCTGCGCCAATATTGTACAGGCGCGATCCACCACTGTCACGAAAACGGTACAATGCAAAGATAAGCAGCTGATGCTGAAGCAAACTTATGTAGACACGATGTGACTGATAAGAGGCTGCAGGAGATCAACATCACTGAGATGCCGCAAAGCTTTTTTTCTTAAAAACAAACATTTGTTTACGACAGTGCTTTAGCAAATTAAATGTCATTAAAGGGGATGTATTGGGAAAGTAAAAATGTACTCTTCCCAATACTTAGAGCAGTTGTACGAGATCAGATACCGCTGATTATTCACGGCTTCTCCCCACGGATATTCCCCCCTCCCTTTTCTGGTCGTGCAACACTCATTGGAGGAGTGGACACAGCTAGCTCTGGTTCTAGAGAGGCGGAGTCAGCTGTCAGTCAGGCAGCAGGGTGGTTCCGACAATACTGTTGGGCTATTTCCCGGCTGCAGATGGGCTCTGCGCTGTCATCGAATAGCAGGCACTTTGGGTCACAGGAGGACATTAGTAAATGTCCTCCTGTGAACCAAAACAGATAACGCTAAATAAAATGTTTTGGTTTAGTTCTCTTTTAAATCAGAGATTAGATGCACTTTAAAAAAGAATAAAATGGAATATAAATCAAATGAAATCCGCTTTTTATCACATTGATGATTTAGTGCATTATAAACTTTCCTGATCAATGTAATTATTAACAAACACTTTGACAGCAATGTAAACCTATGAAAGAGGAATGTCAGCTGAACACATACATGCAGGTTTATTGTTTTATTGAGTTATATATATATAGGATCTGCCATCCTATACTGTCAGAGGCTACTATGGTATTCCTTCCTGTTACAGCTTCCTGGTTCCTTTGCCAATTGGACAAAAGTAACAATGACGATTTGTTGTCCAATTAGCAAGCAGGAGGTGGAGAGGTGTCATAGGTCGCTCCTAGCATTGAAAATTCAACCCGAGCCAGACTCGGGATTACCGCCAGGGAGGTTAAAGGAGAACAATGGGGTCAGTGCTTTTCCCCTTAGTTCTCCTAAGTGTAACGGGAGGACACAAACCAGCGTCCTCCCGTCACCCAAAGCTCAGTATACTGCGAACCACAGCTCGCGGTATACTGAGACGCCGCAGCTGGGACAGATCCCGACATTACTGTCTGGATCCACCTAGCTGCGTGAGTGACAGCTGGCTCTGCCTATCTAGAGGCAGAGCCAGCTGTACCTGCCCCCTCCCCCGTCTGTTCCGCCAGTCAGCGCTGGAGTATCGGACAGGTGTTATCCCTGCAGGGAGCCGTGAGTGACAGTCACGGCTCTCTGCAGTGACAGGATCGGGAAGTGAGCGTGCCACGGTATGTGTTCGCTCACTTCCCGATCTCTTGAGCCGACCTGTGACAGTTTCATTGTCACCCGTCGGCTCTAACTATGAGGCTGAGTGATTTTCGCTCTCCTTTATTAGTCAGAGGATAGGTATTTCCTTGCCTGGCTCTACAATGTAGCAGAGGAGCGGAAATCATGAAGAACACTGAGTGCAACTTTCCTCATTAGAACACAGAGTGCACCAGGTGGTTATAATGACCCCGATCATTTGAACACAGCCTGTCCTGACAAAGGTTAACGATCTAAACCTTTGTAAAGTAATGTGAGGAAGCTCAGGGTGCCCCTAGTCTTTCTATGGGGCCAACCAGAGTTCCCCAAGGCCTTGTTCACACCAAGTGCGTTCCAGGAGCAGAGCAGTTACAGACTGAACCAAAACTGCGTCCAATGTATTCCAATGGTATTTTGGGCTCTAGTTCACAACACAGCGTTCCGTCTCAGAGCATGTTAAAAAACTGCAGCAAGCCCTATTTTACCTACTCTGGAACGCATGCAAACCCATTAAAAACGCATGCAAACACCCTGGAACAAAAGCCCATTCTAAACTTAAAATTTTATTTTTACTTTACCAGAAACGGCCCTGAACGCATCAAAAACGTGGCAAGAAACGCAGTATAACACACTGCACTGTGAACACTTAGAAATATAGAGAAGCTTGCAGTCTGTACAAAGGCCTGCTCCACAGATATATCTAAAAAGGTAGTAAAGTACCTGAAAAGAGGTTGCAGGAGCACACAGACGCAGCAAAAGATTTAAAAAAGGGGAAACCAAGGACCTAATGATAAATAAAATGTTTATGTTACAAAGTCATTTAGAAAACTAAATGTTTCTCGGTTCGTGCTTACACACGCTACTAGACTCTCACATCCGTGACACCGAAACCTATAAGGCCTAAAAGGTCTCTGCACCACCGAGATAACAGTTCTTCCTGCGAATGTGATCAGTCCCATTCGCAGGACTGAATGTGACCTTACAGTTTCTCTGCTTCATGTAGCTGGGAATAGGCTGGGGGATTTGCTTTTTTTTTTTAGCTTAAAATGGGCCGTCAGGTGTGGTCTAGTGCGTTGGCAAGCGTTTTTGATGCGTTTCCATGCGTTCCAGTGCATTTCAGACCTGACAAAATGAGACATGCAGTATTTTTCTGGTGTGGAACGGACTTCGCTGGTGTGAACAAAGGCCAGAAATAGCATAGGGATACATTAGGATGCATTTTGGGTCCGGAAACCATCTGGTTTGGTCTGGAGATGATCTGGATGTGGTGTGAACGGGGCCTCAGAAAATCACTCTAAAAGGTGCCCATACACCTTACGATTATCGTACGATAATCGTATGCGATCGACTTTTCGTACGACAATCGTAACGTGTGAATAGAGTGCCCGACCGATAGTACTGTACAATCGTACGACTTTTGACGGTCAAGCATGTTTGAAAACTTTGGTTGATCGTACGATGTTCGCATGGTTGGTGGCGTTTCCGTCCGTCAAAAGTCGTACGATTAACACTGCGCAAACGAAAATAATTGCGGTCAATTACCGCAAGTCGTCCGCAACTACCGCTGATTGAACCTTGCGATAATCGGGGCAGGATGGGGCTGTCGTACGATCGATCATCGGACGAAAAATTTAGTCCGATAATCGTAAGGTGTATGGGCACCTTTACAAATCAACAAGTGGAAAGCCTCTGGACTATGTAGACCCGAGACTTTCTACATCAACATGTGCCCAATTCTTTCGCAGCAGTTTTGCCATTTTATTTTTCACATTTAGCTGAGCATGTTGCTAGATACCCGGGAAGTTCGGGAAAAGATTAATGACAATGTACCCACAGTGTAACTAAAGTTCTACAGGCCACTTCTTAGCTTTGAGCGTCAAAACGCCCAGGTGTGAACAGGGACTAAGTGCGACAAAACTCTCAGCACTAGAAATCCTAGTCACTTCTGTGGCCCCTGTTCACACCTGAGTATTGTTGCAAGCTGTAAAACGCCGAACGCTGGCAAAGGTACACAAGCTTCTTTCGGGCAGATTACAGCACTTTCGGCCACACAGACTTCAATGGAAGCGCATTAAAAATGCGTGTAAAAATGTGCAAAACGTGCAAGGGTAAGATGTGTGTAAAAACGCGCAGAAACGCTGACGACTAGGTGTGAATGAGGACAGACAAGGCAAACCAAGCTCCTCAGTTCATTTTTGGATAAATTACAGTAACAAGTCAAAATAGAGGGGGGAAAAAGAAGCCACAGGGAGTGATCTAGATGTCACCACCAATCTCACAAACTGACCGGATACATTTTCTCAAGTCAGTGCATTTCCTAGTAGGAGGACAAGAACACAGCATTCTTCAAAAGGACAATAGAGTCATTGTAGACTTATCAAGCCTGGAACAAAGAAAAGATAATCCCGCCACAGCAAATCTGCATACAATGAAAAGATGGCGGTGCAATATCTAGTGTTAGATAAAAGATATTTCCCGTTCCAGTATTTTGGCAGTATGCATTATATGTAGGGACTGAACCGAGTTAATCATTTCCACAGGTCATAAACTGAACACAAATAACGGTCCACACAAAACAGGCAAATAAACATAAGTCAACAACAAAGGGCATTTCTGTATATACACTGAGTGGCCAGATCATTATGACCACCTGACGTTTGTAGCCAAATTACCTATAATTTCGCGCTGAAGTTGCTAGAGGGCCAGACCATTATAAATAGGGAAGCAGGTTGTTTACCACAACAGAAGTGATTTTTTTCTGAAGATACGGGTAAACAACGCGATTTAACAGCCTTTGAAAGTGGGATGATTGTTGGCGCTCGGAGCCAAGGAACGAGTGTCAGCAAAACAGCAGAATTCGGTAAATGTTCAAGAGCAGCTGTTGTTAAAGTGTTTAAAGACTGGACTGTCAGCCGAAAATCAGGGTCTGAACGTGCGAATTGTGGCCGCCAGTGACTAGTCAATGTTAGGGCAGAACGGAGAGTGGCAACACTGGTACAAGACAACAGAAGGGCAACAGTGCATCAAATTAATGCAGATCTTAATCAGGGATCCTCTCAAATGATCTCTGAACGCACTGTTTGCCGTACACTGCATCGTATGGGATACGGAAGCCGAAGGCCTGTTCCAACACCTTTGCTGTCTGCAGTTAACAAGATAAAACCTCTCCCAATTCGCACAGGAACACAAGGATTGGACAGTCGAGAATTGGAAAAAAAAAAAAAAGTCATGTGGTCCGATGAATCACGTTTCCAGTTGCATCATGCAGATGGCAGAGTTAGAATTTGGCGGGAACAGCATGAAAGCATGAACCCCACATGCATGAGTACAACCCTTCAAGCTGGTGGGGGCAGTGTTATGGTTTGGGGTATGTTTTCCTGGCATGATTTGGGCCCTTTAATTTGTGTGGAACAACGTCTGAATACCACAACATACCAAAGTATCGTTGCTGATCAAGTTCATCCTTTCATGTTGATGGTGTATCCCAATGGAGATGGCTTCTTCCAACCAGACAATGCCCCATTGTGCAGGAGTGGTTTCAAGAATATGAGGGAGACTTTGCCTTGCTTAGGTGGCCCCCACAATCACCACATCTCAATCCAAATGAGCATTTGTGGGACGAAGTTGAAAGAGCCATCAGGCAGCTGGTTCCACAACCATCAAATCTCACAGAACTGGACAGTGCTATTCATCAGGCATGGTGTCAGATTCCTCGCATACAACATCTCGTGGAGTCAATGCCAAGAAGAATCGCTGCAGTATTGAAGGCAAAAGGTGGCCCAACGAAGTACTGATGGGGTGGTCATAATAATCTGGCCACTCAGTGTATATGGAGATCATCTACTTAACAGGCATTAATAACAGGGGCCCCGACCTCACACTGCCCCATAGTAAACAGCAGCAAAGCACCAACCAGCTGCTTTTCTATCCCCAATGACTGGTATGGACAGAGAAGCAGTTGTCACAGGAATAAAAAACTTCTCTTTGTAAAACGTCAATTGCTGTCATGCTTACATCAAAGTAACTAAAAACAAATACCTCGTCTTTCCCCGAAAATAAAGACAATGTCTTATTTTTTTTCATGAAAAAAGAGACACTAGGTCTTATTTTCGGGGGATGTCTTACCTGGCTCTCCGCTCCGATGCAAACAGGTGTGCGGGCGGGTTGTGTGGGCGAGCGTGTTGTGTGGGCGGGGAGGGAGCGAGCTGCGGCCGCTCTTAACATGTAAAAATCAATTACATGTGCAGCTACCCCGGAAGTAAGATCTAGCGCTGTCTTCAGGGATTTCTGTAATATGAGATCTACCACCGAACTAGGTCTTACTTTCGGGGTAGGTCTTACATTACAGAAATCCCTGAAGATAGCGCTAGGTCTTACTTTCGGGGTAGGTCTTACATTACAGAAATCCCTGAAGATAGCGCTAGGTCTTACTTTCGGGGGAAACACGGTACCTGCCAGGTAGCCTCTTTAAAATGTTGCACCATGACCAGTGCAGTCTTTAAGACCCTAAAAATAAGCTCCAGGAATTGGGAAACCTAACCCTTGCTAATGCAGGGGCTACACCCCACCCTGCAAGGGTTAACTGCTTGTTCTGGTCTAGAGGCTTAAATAAAAGGAGATACACTCACCTGATCCTCGGTCCCAGCTGCCTCTTCTCTGCCAGTTTAAGGACCCGTGATGTCACCACATCTAAAGCAAGGGCATTAGATGTGAGGAGGCCAAGGGACATTCCTCTGCTGCCAAGGTTGGTTTCTACAATTCCTGGCGTTCCTCTTTAAATATAGACAAGCTGTTACCACTGACAACATATATACAGGAATATCTGTAAAATAAAAGGCAAGTGGGAATACATATGGTGAATGTTGCTCCGATTCCATTCACCATATTTATTCCCAGAGAATTTTTGTACAAGTCATTCTGAATTGAGAAAGCTGGTTGGATGACCAATAAAACGTCTTCAAGAAATATACAGCAAGTCCAGTTGCCTTGACTTATTTTATACAGATATACCATGACCTGGATGAATGAGAACCTTCACAGACATATATAAAGGAATACTTTCCCTTTCTAGTGCCAAACATGAACAATTCAGCTTATAAATGACGGACCAATGAAAAGTAAACAAAAACTTTGCTCCAATCTTCCCCAAGGCTCATAACACCTTTAGAAGATCATAGAGGAGGGAAAGCTCAGCTGTCAATCACCCATATTCTGACTGTCATCCGGGCCGCTGTCACCACTCTGCCCATGTCCTCGCCGGATCATGGCGGTATCCTCGCCAGGCCTCTATGATGAGATCCTGACATGCTGTCACTCCCCGGGGCACTGTGTCGTTATTTACCTTCCTCCGGGCCGCCGCCAGCTTGTGCTGTCTATCGTCAGCCATCCTGGGTCCGACCGGGGAACACGTCACCGCCTTCCCACAATGCACCGCGCCCAACACTCCCGAACACCGCGCACTCCGCGTGACGTCACTGCCAGCTGTACCATCCCTGGAGGCGGGGGAGCGGGGGGCGGAACCATCCCTGGAGAGGGGGGTGGGACCATCCTTCAACTGTCATCACAAACCTTATGAAGCAGTTTGGTTAATCTCACGGATCCATAATGGAACACCGCGATTAACCGAACTACTGCAGAACTACAAGATCCAGCATTCCATGCACAATGTATTACGGGATCCAGCATGTCATGGCTGCTGCAAAATGTACTACAGGACCCATCATGTCATGACGGGGCCTACTAAAAGGAATGACAGAATGGAATGCCCATAGACTTTGACAGGGGAAGAGAATGCCCATAGACTATAATGAAGCCAAACGGAATGCCCATAGAGTATAATGGGAAGAAAGATGGGCCTTGGAGTCGAGAACCATATGACACATCAAATAAATCTTTAGCAGGCATACTCTCCAAACACAGTAGCAACGTTCTAAATTGAGATTAGGTGGGATTATTATTATTGTCTATGGAATGACAAGTGTGAATGACACCAAGAATGCCCATAGACTATAATTTATTAGATTTAGATTTATTTGAAGTGTCATATGGTTCTCGACTCCATGGCCCATCTTTCTTCCCATTATACTCTATGGGCATTCTTGGTTGCTATTCACCTGTCATTCCATAGAAAACAGGAAAAATCCAAAGTTATTTCAATTGTTAAAGATGTTACTATACACGGGGAAGATCTGTGGTAAAGGATAAATTGATATCTTTTTCAGATTTGCCTACAAATATCTGATACTATGCTTGCCATTATACTCTATGGGCATTCCGTTTGGCTTCATTATAGTCTATGGGCATTCTCTTCCCCTGTCAAAGTCTATGGGCATTCCATTCTGTCATTCCTTTTAGTAGGCCCCTGTCATGACTGCTGCACAATGTACTACATGATCCAGTATGCCATGACAGCTGTACAATGTACTACAACAGGGCTAAAAATTTCAAGTCCTGAGCTACTAGCCAGGCCTTAAAAGTTACTCACCACCAGTTGCCCCACCTAACCCCTACCCTGCCCCGGACTTAACTCCGCCAGGTCAGTAATGTAACGCACAGCGCAGAGGTCAGTAATGTAACGCACAGCGCAAAGGTCAGTAATGAAACACACAGG